ATTTCTACTCTTTCCAGCCGCCTCCCGAAGCCTGGTAGAGGCTAAAGACATTATACACGCATATACTAGTAAATTAGAATCCAAAATTGTTTCTACATGTATTTTAGGTGGATAGCAACCGTTGCCATAGCCGAGAATGTAAATACAAAGTCTTAAGTCAGATGATCTACTTATAGGGGATGTATCTTTTCCACTGGGACTTCCCAGTAAAATCCAGGCCTGATCAATCAGGCTTAACTATTTGTTGTCGGTAAAACAGCCTAGAACAACGATTATGTCGGTACTGTGATATGGGAAGAGCTGAAAATGAGAAACATTTTGTAATAGAACCATTCAACAAAGAGAGTGAGAGCAGATCTTTATAATCTGATACAATCTATGTTCCTCTTCTTCATACATCTAAGCTGTGCAGATAAATTTGAATTCCTATTGATATTAGACAAACCTATATTGAAACATACCTGTTCTTACCTTTTTACCATTACTAAGAAACGAGAAGAAATCGAATTTACTTAATTTATTTAATTGCAGTTTCTTTGACGATGTATATTTATGTAACGTTATCTGTATTCCATCCTTTTGCTGTGACATGTACTTAACCCAGTGGGTACATTGTATGTGTGTACAATGACGATATTCATTCATTCATTCATTCATTCATTCATTCATTCATTCATTCATTCTTTCATTCATTCATTCATTCATTCATTCTTTCATTCATTCATTCATTTATTCATTTATTCATTCATTGGGCTGAAACATGGTTCAAGTCGTGAGTGTAATGCAAGCAGGCCTTGATTTTTAATTAGATTTGTTGTTGCTAATGGAAAATATGAGCTTAATATTGTATTATGATATCATAACACGATATCGCGATACAGCTTAAATAAGAATATTGTTAATCAATGAATCCACATCTCTATCTTATTTGCATACTAATTATATACATATATGAATATAGTACGAGTGTATAGCAAGTATAATATAACGAATTACTTAAGTTATTTATTTATCCATCTATTACTATTATGAGTATATTATTATTAGTAAAGTGTCTATTGTTAGTAAAGTGTCTCACTCAACATCATTAAGGCAGCGTTTTCTACTTGCTGTACGTACTTAACTAACCTATTCCCTTATCCCTTGCTAGCCACATTGATTGTTGTATAGAACACAAACTATGTAATATACAGAATGCATATACAGTGAAATTACACTTAACACAGCCGTCCTCTGATAAAAAAAGTACAAGCAAAAACAACAATCAAGCTGCTAAGCTAACAGACAGAAGTTATACATCCATGTACCCCGTGAATAGTTTCATCAGGTTGGTAAGTTTCTTAGTAAAGATAATCTTTTCACACAACCAAGTGCTTTATTCACAGCCGACGTTTTAGTGACCGTCTGTCACCTTCCTCAGGGCAATTCTGACATGCACTGCAACACATCTAACCCCTGTACGTTTTGGACCGCAATGCAGATACAGTTCCCTGAAACCACGTATATGTGTAGATATGTATATATTGTACGTTTGGGAACGCATCTATTGTAGTGACACCGTCCTTTAGTGCAATATGAACCAGTCAGAATTTCCCGGAGGAAGGTGACAGACGGTGACCGAACGTCGGCTATTATAAAACACTTCGTTGTGTAAAATGAGTCTCTTCACTCACATCCATGTACCGCTAGCGCTTGCGAGGACTCAAGTACAAAGTACATGGCACCGCCACAATTATACTGACAATGTACAGTAGCAGACAGAGCCTGTCCAGAACATCAGCTAACAACATGTAATCTGTAGGTGCCTCTTCATCAAAACCGTCAGCTTGTGCCAGGAGTCTGCCCACATTGACATTGAGCTCGTGCATGCTGTTCTGTAGCTCGAGAAGACGACGTTCATTTTTCATAGCGATATGTAGTCGTGCCCTAGGGGGGCCGAAAACAATGGCGGCCACATCATTGTCCTCCGGCCTTGTGGAGTTGTCATTGGGAAGGTTATTTCTTGTATGGAGCAGGGAAGATCGTCGCTCTGCGTTGAGAGATGTTCCTTCTTTTGTAGCCCTCTTACTCAGGTCACCCATAAGTAGCATTCTGGTGTTTAGATTGAGAAAATACTTGTCAAAAATGATCATGACTTGGTACGCATTTTCGCAATATGTCTATGGAATATTGTGATCTCGAAAATTGCGAAACAAACTAATTTGCAAGTTAGAGTAAACAAGCAGACAGTACAAATTTTGCACAAGAATATCAGTCACCGGCAAATACTAGTGGATGCTACTTGAATCGTTACAATATTTATATATGCGCTGCATGCCAGAGCAATTTCTTTCAAAATAGATTAAACTACACACCAACGAATATCGGAGCAATAGACACATAATCCTATAGGTGATCCGATGCACTCTGATCATCTTCAAACAACAGTATGCAATGTACGATACAGGGAAGATACCAGAACATGGACTATAGCTACAATAGGTGGCAAAATAGTAACTGACCGACCAAACAGTATGTAAAAGGTAAGACGCAAGCCAATTGGCCAGTTGTCAGAAAACGGAATAAGAATAGACTAGGGTCACAATTTTTTTTTATTCCAAAACAATTTACAAGACGTGGTGACGACACACTCAAGTTTTTTTTTCAACTTATATTAATGCCGACACCAACACAGGGACATTACAATACTCATTTACACCTGAGCGAAGTGATGAGGAAAGTCGTGTAAATTGCCTTTCCCAAAGGCACAAGATCAGTGGCATGTCAGGACTCGAACCCGGGGCCTCTGGTTCCAAGTCGAGAACGCTGCCGCTGCGCCACACGACCCCACAACAATTTAATCAATCAACCTCTGATGGGAGACTGGAGTATAACATCTTAGTACCTTGCCATGTAACACAAGAAGAACTTCCTGGCACACGGTGAGAGAGTCCCCTTCTTGCTGTGAAGAATGACGATAAACAGGGTGGCCAGCATGAAGAGTGCCATCATTCCCATGGCCACGATGATCAGTAGAGCTGAAACATAGAGTGTAAACAGACATTATAGACTTATTTTGCAATTTTGTGCACAAAAAGTACGTAGTCATAGGAAAAATACTCTTTCTCTCCTGTGTAGTTTTCTTCTTTTTTTATTAAGTTATAATCTTACCCCAATTGATAATGGTAAATCAAAGACTGAAAACATGCATTAAACAATATCAGTGGTCAGAAAAAAAGACCAATTTTAATTATATACTAATCATTATAACAAAATAGAAATTCAAATACAAGTACTTCTTGATATATCAAATGAAATAAAGCCCAAAACTTGCAATCAGAAAGACAGCAGTCTAAACTTCATTCCTGCAAATGTTGCTAGTATATTTGTCACGGCGGTCTGTTACTACGGTATTCTTTCCCATTGCTGGGGGCGTTCGATAAAGTATCGGGTTACAAGACGCAATTTTGGGCTAACCGCAATACATTTGAAAATAAACAAACTAGTATCAAAGGGAAAATTTCGTTGAAATAAAATAAAATTATTGTCTTTACATGCATTCAATGGTGATTTTTTGCGCTAAATGGATTATTTTTTCGCATTTCGTTAAAAAAGTCGATAATTGTCGCGATTTCGCAACGCCATATTTTAGCCAATCCCCGAGCAAACCTGGCTACACATATTACGCAAGATCACTGATTTTTATATTTTTCGACGACTAGGAATAAGATAAAAAATCGTGCTTTTGGGATTTTTTTTAATTTCTGACTCTAAGTATAGTTTTTATCGACAAAGAGGTGAAAAAATCGAATTTTTTGCCTTTTTTCGCACTCAATTACCCATAATTCAAAATCGAGGGCATTTTTAAAAAAATCCCAAAAGCACGATTTTCGGGACAATCGTGACAGTCATTTTGAGCCGTAAATGGGGTATGTTTGACTCTCCATGTTTCCAGATTTGAACGAGGTTTGCAGACATGTCATATCGCCCGAAAGTGTACATTGTGTTATTCATACAAGCGTAAAGAATCATTACAGTATTCAAGGTCACCCAAGGATACGACAGTAGTTTCGCTACATGTTACATACCCACCAAAAATTATAGCGGACATGTACTGTCCAGGAAACTGTCTGTATCTATAGAAAAGTGTTGATTTTTATCTGTTGCGCGGCACTCAGAGAGAAGGGCTTGTTTTGCCGCTTTATTGTAAATGACCGCAGGTGACCCCGAAATAGAACGCGGGTTCGATTCGAATTGCCCAGATCGAACACGATCGAACACAGTTCGGGTTCTATGAAATGTGGGGACTTTGCAGCCCAGATTTGACCACCGTGTGTTCTTATTATGATGTTTTTCATTCAAGACCTGCATCAACTTTGCAGGCATGCGGCGCTTTGGCAGCTAGCTATAATTACACCAAACGAATTGTTACACTCGATTTTTGCACATTTAATTGCAGGAGTTGTTTAAAGCTTTCAAGTGATGATGCCCCAACTGTGCTTGGTGGCAACGAGTTCCAGTCTACGATATATAGTTCTGGGGAAATACGCACAGTGAAAGACGAGTTTTTGAACACCTCAATTCTTCGTTGATAACTCTGATATTTGAAGGCATTACTGTTTCTTATTCTTTTTTGGGCTGGTATCAGATACTTAGTAGCCGGTACATCCACCAGTTTGTTAGTCATTTTGTTCATGCAGCAGTTGTTTAGATCAACTCACCAATCTGTATCTGTATTAGTATAGCCGGTATAACCGCCCTTCGGTGTAACACATCAGCTTCGCAGGCATGCGGCGCCGCGGCAGTTGTCTATATTACACCGAACGACTTACTACACTCAATCTTTACACAATTAATTGTCCACCAGTTTGTTAGTCATTTTGTTCATGAAGACGTTGTTTGGATCAACTCACCAATAAAGGGGATGATCCCCTTGACAGGCAGGAAACCTGTGACGACGACTAGCGACACCACCATGGACAGCAGCACGGTGACGCCGAAGGAGATCCTGTCTCCCTTGTCCACCGGTAACATGAACGTGATGACCATCAGGACCACCAGGATGATACACGGAGACAGGGTAGTAGCGAAGTGGTAACTGGGATCCCGCTCGAGACTGATGGTGAGACAGGCCAGGTTGTTGTCGGTGGAGATGGTGACTTTCCCGCTCCACTCCCCGCTGGACACCGGCGCGACGGTCCCGTTACAGGTCAGGAATCTGGGGACGTCTGACGAACTCGTGCCGTTGGAGCATTCTCCGTCGGACTCACAGTCAGACTTATCTGAGTGATGCCTGCAGCCATATTCTAACAGACAGAAAAATGATATTTAACATTATAAAATTATGGTTCTTAACAATAGAAAGCTAGCCTCTGCCAGGCTTCATGATTAATGAGCTTTGAAAAAGAGAAATTGGAAAAAAGATAACATGCCAGGTAACATGCCAGGGGGTAAATTTGGAAGTACATTTTTGCAACCGAATGTACTCATTAGTTGTTTTTTTTTGTTAATTTATTAGCACAAATGTCATGTAAAAAACAACTGAATTGACGTGTTGACAACTCAATAGAATTACTAACGACACTAGTTACTTCAGTTGAGTCTATTTCGTCGAGAGGAGGATTTATTAAAATTTTCAGAATTAAAAACTAATAATAGAAATAGATAAAAGCATTGAAGTTGACCTCTACTTGATGGATACATGACATTATGGCCTTAATTTCAATTTACTCCATGTCTGTCGTTTCATGATAAAATGTTTAAATTTTTGACAACTGTATCACATCTTATTTGTCAGTAGAATTTGGGCATTGTTTTGATATTGTTGAGCGGAGGCCTAGGTCTAATCTGTTGTTTTAATATCTCAAAATTGATTACAAGATATGGCAACGACACGTTGTTTTTCAACTTTTTTTAAATGCTGCCACCGACACAACGACAAACGCACGGACAACAGACATACTCATTTTCACCTGAGTGAAGTGAGGAAATGCTTGTAAAGTGCCTTTCCCAGGCGCATAAGATCGGTGACATGGCCGGATTCAAACTCGGGACTCATTCCAAGTCAAACGCTCTGTCTTTACGGCACACAACCCCACATTATAATTAATTTAGTTCGTCACACATACCTATGACATGTTCTGACCCTGCGCTCCAGCAGATGGGACATGTGATGTTGTCCTTGGGGAACAGGAACGGGTCCAGGTCACACGTGGTGGTGGTCAGGGTTTCTATGGGCCAGTGGATATCTCCTGACGAGTCCAGTTCGATCACCGTGCTGGGAAAACCACCTGTGTACTGTTCATCAGCACTGGTAGGCAAAAACGTTAATGTATATCTCAATACATGCCGAAACTGGGCTTTCAAAAATAACATAATGTATCTATACAGTCAATAACACGTAAAATGTCCTTCAGATATACACATGTACAGTAATGTAATAATTTGGATAATCTTTATTTGAAACATCTTCATCGCATATTCTTACCCAGATGGGCTACGTGCACATTGGACATATGTAGTCTAGAGGATAAAAAACAGTACTGCAAACCCAAAAGCCTCATTCTAGCAAGTACTAAAGGTCCATTTATAACTATTTAAATAATATGGCCTATTTATTATATACTCTGAAACACCATTTCTTCTCTCTTTTGAAACACTTGGAAACATAACTACATATTTATCCACTATACGTTCACTCCAGCATGACATCAAGTATTTGAAAGTGTTCTGCTTTGATATTTCTTTCATCATTTATTCATATAATAATATGTATTAAGAATAGTGCCAACTCGGCAAGCACAGTTTCGGAGCAACGGACTCACAGAACAATGTCTGCATTGTGACGTTTTAACAATAGTTACATACAGTTAAAGATATTCCACACACACACACACACACACACACACACACACACACACACACACACACACACATGCACACACACACACACACACATGGTATGTAAGAAAATGACAAAGCAGAACGCTTTAAAAAACTTCATGTCATGTGTATTACAATATGATAGAGATTGTACAGATGGTTCTGCATTGCGAGTCATCTTAACATGCCATGACACACTCAGAGAAAAAAGCTATAACCCACTTCCTCTTCAGGGTCAGGAGTGGTTTCCATGGTTGATCGTCTCCGAAGAACAAATGATCAACATTTCCGTTTTCTGACATCTCCCAGAGCAGGCGTTGGTCCTGCCATATCTGTAGGAAGAAGTAGGGGCATTTCTCCGTCGGTTTATAACCAAATGCCTTTCAGACTTCCAGCAGTACATGCTTTCGGTCGGTATTGGTGGTGTTGATTAGAAACATATGTATATATAGAAATATTTTACTGCTAATATATGCCCAAGGGCTAATAGCAAGGACAAACAACATGCCTGAAAATGAGAATACAGTGATATAATATAAAGGACTACCTCCAATGTTATGCTACATTCTACAATACTAGTATGGTTTTGTTTGGTTTAACTTCTTCTTGTGAGGAAATGGAAGACAAAATTGCACACTCCTTTTACCATGATATGTGGGTTGTTTGATTTTGGTAGTAAACTTGTTTTTTCATGGTTGGGAATAGTGGGAAGTAAAGGTGTATTTCGGACACGATGGGAAATAATCTATGACATATAATGGTTACATTTACAACATATTATCCAAAAAAACAAACAAAATCTTCAGTAAGCAAGTAAAGAAGAATTCGAACAGTGTTGAAAACATAAAACTGCATTCCCCCCAAAATAGAAGAAATGCTAAGCAACTTACGAATTCAGCTTTGACAGCAGACTTGATGATTTCAGCTTTCTCATCCTACGAATATGCAGAAAGCCAAACAATAAACACCAGGGAATATCATATCTAACAAAAGTTAGAAGTATCTATCATCAGCTATTTTTTTTAATTTGTATTCTCAACTGAAGCAAAGCCGTAGTCTTCTTCTTCTCCGTAGCATGTAGTAAGCAAGTAGCAAGCCGTAGTGGCATGTTTCCATGATACATGGTATTACTGCTGTTAGAATAGCAACTGGAAGACATACTAGATGGTCTAGATGTGTCCCGAACCGTGCCTGTCCCAGAGCGGGCACAAACGGGACACAGCCTGACTGTCCAGAACCGTGCCCAGAATGTGTCAATCATAGTGATTGGCGGGACCGGGCACGGTTTGGGACAAGGCCATTGGTTTGGGACACGCGCCTAGTGTCCCAGGACTGTGATTGGTTCAATCTACTTTCTTGTGTATACTACGTGCTGTGTTGTATCAAAAACGTC